GGCTGAGGCAGGAGACTCGCTTAAGCCCAGGAGTTGGAGGTTGCTGTGAGCTGTAATGCCACGGCACTCTACCCCGGGGGACAGCTTGAGGCTCTGTCTCAACAACAACAACAAAAAAGGACAGAGTTGAGGGACGTGAGGGGGGCCCAGTGACTGTGTCTGATCCCTAGGAGGTGCTTTGTAAACATTGTTGATTCAATGAAGTGTGGGTGCATGTCTGCACGGTCCCTCCATGGTATCTTCTGCTCAAATGAAGAGCTATCAAGGTGTTTCTTTTCAGCTGAAGGAGAAAGGGGTGGCAGAGAGAGAGATGGAGAGAAGGGTTGGCAGCCCCTGTTCTGTCTGATGGAGAGAGGGCACAGGTGACAAGGAAGCGGGCTGTGTTCATGGAGGACTGTAAGAGACACTGGGTCCGAGCAGTGCTGCTCAGAACAGGCCATTCTCCACCCCACCCACTGGTCGACTGCCTTGCCTCATAGACCACAGGGGAGATTTGGTACCTGAAAGATCGGGCCATTTCACCAGCAGACAAATGCGATGCATAATGGATCCACAGCATGAGCGAGGGTGACGTCAGTAGAGGCTGAGTGGGGCAACAGAACACAGACAGGACAGGAGGCCTGAGTGGTCTGGTGCCTGGACACGTGGACTCTCCTGGACTCTCAGAAGCAGCTGGAGGAGAATCTGAGGGCAGTGGCAACAGCTACTGTAACTTGGGCATCATTGTTAATATGACCTTGTTTGCACCTAGGAGAGGCCTGAGATTTGGGGGTTATTCAGTAAGTGGATGAAGCTGATCCACTTGTTCATTCATTAGACAAATATTTGTTGAGTCTCGTGTACCATGAACTGTGCTGGATTCTGAACATGCAACAATTAAGAAAACAGAGGTGATCCTTGCCCCGAAGAGCAGCTCAGGCCAGCGCTGGCATCCATGTACATGCAGGATGTGCATCCCAGGCAGTGGGAAAAGCAGGTGGAAAGATGTGGGGACAAATCCTTGGCCAACTGGGGGTTGAAAGAAGGCCAGTGGGGCAGGTTGAGTGAAAACATGTGGAGGTGGAGGGGAGAGGCAGAAGAGAAGGCTGGAGAGAGGGAGGGGCCACACCTCGCAGGGCCACATTAGGACTTCAAATGTAAGCCTAAGTCCAGTGGGAAGGGGAGTGATGTGATCAGTTTTATTTTTGCAAATATTATCCGGCATCTTTGTGGAGTGTGAATTGGGGCAAAAGGAACAAGGGAAGAAAAGTGTGGCTCGGTGCCTGTGGCTCAAGCGGCTAGCTAGGGCGCCAGCCACATACACCTAAGGTGGCAGGTTCGAATCCAGCCCAGGCCCGCCAAAACAACAATGACGGCTGCAACCAAAAAATAGCCAGGCATTGTGGTGGACGCCTGTGGTCCCAACTACTTGGGAGGCTGAGGCAGGAGACTCGCTTGAGCCCAGGAGTTGGAGGTTGTGAGCTGTGATGCCACGGCACTCTACCCAGGGGGATAGCTTGAGGCTCTGTCTCAAAAAAAAAAAAAAAGAAAAGTGTGAAGGCTAAGACAGGTGTTGAGGTAGAGATGATGGTGGCATGGCTATGGCAAGGGCATGAATGGAGGAAGTTGAGAAGTATTTTTAAAAAGAATTGAGACAATAAAGGTTTTTCTCACATCCTTGCCTTAGAACAGATAGGATGAAATGTTGACTTTAGACAAGGCAAATGGCAAATATTTCAGCCATGACTGTCCAGCTGTCCCCAGTGTGGGCTGTTGTGCTTTCCCCTGCCCTAGCCACAGCCATACCCAATGGGAGTCTTTTTTTTTTGAGACAGAGTTTCACTATGTCACCCTTGGTAGAGTGCTGTAGGTCACAGCTCACAGCAACCTCTAATTCTTGGGCTTAAGCAATTCTCTTGCCTCAGCCACCCAAGTAGCTGGGACTATAGGCGCCCACCACAATACCCAGCTATTTTTTGGTTGTAGTCGTCATTGTTGTTTGGCAGTCCCAGGTTGGATTCGAACCCACCAGCTCTTGTGTATGTGGCTAGCACCCTAGCTGCTGAGCTACAGATGCCCAGCCCAGTGGGAATCATTTGTATATTTAAAGACTTCCTGAGAGAGCTTTCACATTTTCTTTTGCAACCTCTGCTTGTATTTAAAATAATTACTATTGGGAAATTCCCATTGGTGCTTCATCAGATGCCTCTTGCTCTAAAGTGTTTTGATTCCTGGTGAAGATGAAGAGGATAAATTATAAGTCACCTGGCCTGCCAAATATGAATGATGTCATGATGACAGTTCTGAATTGCACGTATTCCAAAGCAAAGAAAAATGGCTGCATATCCTCAGAAAAAGAATCCAGTTATATTTTTGTAGCTATTTAGCTCACTGCTGAATCCTTTGTCCTTGCTACTGAAAGTATGGACCCAGCAACAGCACCTGGTAGCTTGTTAGCAATTCAGAACCAAATCTGAACATTTTAATATGGTATCCAGGCAATTCGAGGCAATTCACAGGCACTTTGAATTTTGAGGAGCACCACCTTAGATCACCCTTAGGCCATCTAAAAGTGGGTGGGCAGTGGCAGGTCCCTCAGCAAGCTGCTAGGAAAACCTAACTGGTCCGACAGGAACTAGCTTTTCTCTGGAAGTCCCCAGTACTCAAGTCATGTAGAGCCAGACTCAGAGACAGCATGTTGGTTGCTGGTTGCATGAGAGGCCCTGTGTGGACACCGCCCTGGTACTGAAATGCTCCCCAGTAGCAACTGGGGTTGCCGGGACACATGGGAAGTTGCTCCCCTAGGCAGCACCACAGACAGGAGGACAGTTTGGTCCGTGTACTGGGTTTCTGAGAGTCCTGGTTCTCCCTGGGTGGTCTGGGTGACTCTCTTGCTTCCTTCTGAATCGAGCCACACTGATGAGCAGGGCAAGGCAGTTCTGGCGTCTCAATAAAAAATACTCCCACATACACCCACGATAGCCTTGCTAGAACAGAACACCCAGTTCTAGGGGTTCTGAAAACTCCTGACAATGCTTGTGTGGTCAGCCTTTCCAGGCCAGTGACCCCCACCACTCCCTGGTCTCACTCCCACTCCCCACCTGAGGGGTATGTGACACAAATACCAGACACAGGCTCAGCAAAACAAGGACACTTGTTTTATTTCTCTGTTCTTGAGAAGTGTCTGTTTCAAAGCACAAAATCTAGCCCACAATCTAATCACGCACCACTGTCCCACATCATCGGACAAAAGGATGAAGTTCGTGGACTGTTTAAAGCATATGGTTTGTAAATACCATAAAATCAAACATTACTTCTGGCTTTTATTTACTGTACGTTTCACGTTCTCCAAATACCAAAATAGCTTATGAGGTCTTCTTTGCCTCTGCCTTCTTTCTCCTCTTTCTTTTTATTCCTGTGTTTCTTTGCTTCCTGCCTTGGCTGCAGTGGCAGCTTCTCTGCTCTGATTCCCCTGTGCCCACCTGCCTGGCTCCTCCCTTCTGTGCCCTGCCTGCCTACTGGCTGTCACTCACTCTTCACTTGGCTTTCTTTACCCTAAGCTCCTGTTCCTGCCTCTGTGTCACTCACGCGGCTCCTCTATCCTCTGAGATGTCCCGCCACCTGTTCCTCTCCATGCTCTCACTTCCAAAGGCTGCAGATGCTCCCCACTCAGGCTCTACTCCCACCTGCCTCTCCCAGGCTATTTTCTTATCCCTCCCAATGCCCCCCACAGGGTCTCCTCCCCTACCTTTTCTCTAAAGGGAACATGGGGATCAGAGAATAGTAGACTCAGAGTCACAAGGGACACAGCTTACGTTACACGGGCAGTGAACTTCTGAGTCACAAACTCTTCTCATATCATGTTTACAATGGCTGCTTCTGGGACCCCATAGAGCAGGAAGGGCTGGGGAAGAGAATCCCTCTCTAGGCTCCCTCACTAACACTTTCGCCCTGACCCTTTCTTTCCTGTCTCAGCATATATGCATACACGCAGACACATGCATAGAGCACACACACCCACACACATACACAAGCATTCCTAAGAAGTGCCCTCTGTGCAGACATGTTTGCTTTCAGGCTCCACTAAAGCCCTGAGCTTCCAGTGTCCAGTGTCTCTTCCCCCTGCCAGGCTAGTCTGCCCTTCACACCCCCGGTAGAGCTTTAGGAACACGACTCTGGTTTGAGTTGACAAGAAGGGATGGTGGCAGCAGGGAGGCTTCTCTCCCTAGGTGCAGCTCTTGGGCAGAGGTCAGCATTTGTTAGCTCCAAAAGGAAGCTCATCTCAAAGCCAGCTTCTGCCTGGGTCATGCTCAACCAATCAACCAACAGTCAATGCAGCAAAGTGGGCCACTCTCTGTGCCCCTGGGCAAGGCCTCTCCAAAATGAACAGAACCCTGAAGATACACCCTTGTAAGCATCACACTGGAACTCTACTCTGAACTGAACATTCTCAGCTAGTGATTCCCCAGGCACTTTGTAGGATCTTTCTCTGTAGCCTCTTTCTTTGCAGCTGGGGAGCAGAGGTTACATCCGAGTGGCCATTGGGGGACCAAGAGAAATCCCTTGATTTCCCAGGGCTGGGCTCTTCATGGGGTGTCCATTCCTCTCCATGCTGTAGACCATTCTCCTCTGTCTGCAGGGAGGAGGATTCCCCAAGGCACATTCATCTGAAGGACATGAGAGTCTCAGCGGGGTGTTGACTCAGAGATCAACCCTGTTGAGGTGGGGCTCTCCAGTCCTGTCCTGCCCCTACACCTGGGCCCACTCTCAGCTCAGACCTGGCTACCTGTGGCACTGGATTGGCACCTGGATTCTCAGCGCAGCAGTGCTCACCACTCGAAGAACAAGAGGAGAGCTGCCCCTCCAGGGGAGCTGCCCCTCCAGGGGAGCAGGGCTTGCAGATGAGCTAGAACGTGCCTCACCAAGTCTAACTCCACCCTGCTGTCCTATGTCCAACATCAGGGTGTGGTCTCTGCTTAGCTACTCTCTGTGAAAATTCCCAAGGCAAGAAGGAAGTTCTGTTTGATTTCCCTGCACCCCCCTCCCCGCCCCTACTGCCCTCTGCAAACCCTGAGGGGAATAGAAAAATAAGTATGAATATCATTCTCTACCCAAGCTCCTTTTCATATCAACTAATTAGCCATCCCGGTTGCCAATAAATTACTATTACAAAATGTCGTGTATGTATGTAGGCACACATAGACATATGTGTGTGCATGTAGTCAAGCAGTCTAGCCTTTTTTCCTTGTCCCCTCTTGTGGGAAGCTTCAGATAAAACGCCTCCGGCCCCCTGAAGGGTTCATCTCATCATGGGTGCCACATAGTTGGCAGGGAAGAGGCCCAGCTTGTTGTGCAGTCGGCCGGTCCACCAGGATGGGTTGGAGCTGTCTAGAACCTCAACCACCTCTCCACTGTGGAATCCCAGCTCGTCGTCCGCCAAGGCCTCAAAGTCGTACAGGGCCCGGGCCCACCGCACTCGCTGTTGGGGGAAGCACAGGGAGGCTATGCTGAGCTGGGGCCAGCCAGGCTCTCCTCAGAGCCACCAGTCCACAGCACAGGGTCTGCGGGCTCCTGGCACCATGGCCACGTGGAGGCACAGCCCTGAACATGGACTCAGAACTGTTAAGTGACAGAGATGTCATAGAGAATCCTCTCTGCACACCAGTAGGTGGTATTTTTATTTTCTTCAAGTGACAAACAAATGGCAACATGTTTAAAATAATGCTCCCCCCCCACCGCCCCGGGATTAGTGCAATAGAGTCATGAGTCAAGATGGATCTGAGTGATAAAGCAATGATACTACAGTAATAAAGGAGATGAAGAACAAGAGCCAAGAACTTCAAGGCCAGGGAAGGCCAGACACCCAGACTGGGAATGACAGACCTCGTGGAGCTGCTGAGATGAGCTTGTCCCAAGCCTCCCCGCACTGTCACTCCCTGGATATCCTCTGCCTCCAGCTGAGCTCTGTGCAGTTTAGTTCTCTCCTGCTGAGTCTCTTCCACTGAACTCTGTCCCTCAGCCTTCCCCCTAGGGAGCCTGGAGAGGGACAGTTCACCTACCCCTGCCACTTGCAGCTGCACCGGGTCTGTGTGTCTTCGATGCATGAGGGCTGCATTCATTTCACTGCCCAGGCTGGTGCCACAATGCCCGTCGTTTATGTCAAGGCTGCCTCCTCGGCGCTCCTAGAAACAGATGCAGCAAGAGAACCCATCACTCCACTGGCAGGCTTCCCCAGTGCCTCGCTGGGATGCCATGAATACAGCCAGCATTCCAGGAATACTTGCTAACCACTGATGGTGGCAATAAACTCTCGATGATGGAGAGAAGAGGAGGATCACAGGACCTTAGATTTGGCAAAGGAGCCAAATATGGGTTTCATATATTCACTCAAGAAGTATTTATCAGGCTTCCACCATCTGTCCAGACACTAAGGATACAGAGCTGCAAACAGCAGGACTCTGGCTTCATGAAGCTTCTGTTTAGAGGGTAACCATACTCACTTAAGTGGTAAGTGAGCAGAGAGGAGAGCTTCTAAGTCTGCCTGGGTAAACCAGAGAAGGCTTCATAGAAGAGATGATGCTTGTGTTTCAGCTTAAAATAAGGACTGGCCAGGGAAGGGCACTAGAGACAGAGGGATCAGCATATAAAACCCCACAAAGTCACGGACCATTCAGGTAACTAAGGGTAGTGCAGGGTTGCTGGAATGGTATCTGCATGGGGAGTGGGGGGAGGGAGCAGGAAGCAGGTTGGGGAAACAGATGTGGGCTGTGAACAAAGGGCTTTGTGTGCCCTGCTAAGGAATTTAGGAACGATATTATCTGGCTGCATTGTTCTCTCCATAAGCCACCTGAAATCCCATCTGGAACAAGGCGGGGGATAAATAAATAAATAAGCAAGGCTCCACTGCAGGTCTTAATCCCTTTTTCTTGTGGATCTCCACAGCAGGATGGGTTAAGGGGCAGGAATAGATTTAGAATTGTGCTGATAGGAAAATGAAGCCATTGCTCACTGAGTCCTCAAGGTTACAATGTGTGTGTGTGTATTCAGGCGGTGAGCCATTTAATTCACAGAGACTTCTTTGCCAAGAGCAGTTTCCATATTTCTGCCACGTGGAGAATCCTGTGAGACCTCAGGAGACACGGCCAGGCCTGGGGGTAAGGCAGGGCCTCCTTCCCACCCTCTCGTGCCCATCTCATTCTTTCCAGATACCTGGTGAAAGTGGTGATGCTGCAGGTAGCGCTGCTGCTGGGGCTGCAGTGGGGGGGCATAGTGCAGGGGTGCCTGCTGGTGCTGGTGCTGTGAGGGGACCCCTGGCGGGTGATCTGACAGCTTGCGGTTCATGGAAGGCCGGATTTCTTCTCCCACGGCTCCACTGGCTCCACTGAGGTGCGGGCTTCCTTGGGACCTTCTGTCTAGGCTGTTGCCTCGGCGACCCTGGGAGAGAGAACAGAGATGTCTTCTGGGAGCTTCTGGCCTGACCCCACCTGTTGCAATTATTCCTAGACTTGGCTCCCCAAGTCTCCAAGAGATAGCTGGGGGGTGGGTTGACCTTAAAGGGGACTAATGGTTCAGATTTTCACATTCTCAAAAGGAGCCTCTCCATTCTCAGATTCTCCCAATTTTAGGAATTCAATTCTCTGGTTCAGTTTCCACGTGGTACCCGTTTAGTCTGTACCTAGCAGGCTTGTTTTCCTCTGTGTAATCAAGCTTAAATATTCCATTTTACTGACACAATGCCACCCCTCCTTATCTCATGTTGCCACACTGGTGGACATCCTACCCCTACAGATAAGCTCTGCTGTTGACTTTGCCTGATTTTGAGCTGTCATTTATAGCCTGGTGACAGAGACCTAAACAGCAACACTCTCTCAGCACCATGGAAACCAGACCTGCCGCTGGGCATGCTGGGAAGGAGCAAGGCCTTTCTGCTTAATGTTATAACAGCCTTGTGAATCAGAAATACTTTATTGTTATTTTTATTTGACAAACAATTACACAGGGCCCAGGGCTTAGTATATACCAGGTACTATTCTAAGCACTCTACAAATATTAACTCATTTAATCCAGTTTAATGCAATTTTATATTGCCTCTGTTATCTCTGAATGCACATCCTGGTAAGTTAATCTCTCTGTTTCCTGGTTAAAATAATTCAGACGATCTGGTTAACCTTTATTTTTCCTTCTGAACTTCTGTGTGCACTTGGTGGGGACACTATTTTCTCCTTTAACAGGAGCTTCTCAGGCTTAAAAGCAACCAAGACTTGAAAGGCAGGGTTTTCTTTACTTCCCCAAAGCATATGTTATTGCTGTCACAGTCTTGGTGCCTTTTAAAATAAACTTTCCCTAGGATTTCACCTGTTGTTATGAATACTTCTTCTTATAATACCTGTCTCTTATAACCGTGTCATTTCATTTGAAAAAGCGTTAATAAATTATTATATGGTGAATTTACTTAAGGGAGGGAAGGTAACATTTCCTCAGTGCCTTGTAAGGGCCAGGTTCTATGGCATTGCTTAGCTATATTACCTCATGTAATCTTCACAATGGCCCACAGATGGAGGTATTATTGTTCTTGCTAGTCTACAAATGAGAAAACTGGTACTCAGAAAGGTGACTCAAGGCTGGGCGCAGTGGCTCAGTGGCTCATGCCTGTAACCCTAGCACTCTGGCAGGCCAAGGTGGAAGGATCACCTGAGCTCATGAGTTTGAGACCAGCATGAGCAAGGGCAAGACCCTGTCTCTACTAAAAATAGAAAAACTGAGGCAAGAAAATCTCTGCAGCCCCAGAGTTTGAAGTTACTGTGAGCTATGATGCCATGGCACTTTACCCAGGGTGACAGAGTGAAACTATCTGAAAAAAAAAAAAAAGGGTGTCTTGGCTAGGTGCCCATAGCATGGTGGTTATGGCTCCAGCCACATATACCGTGGCTGGTGGGTTCAAACCTGGCCCCGACCAGCTAAACGATGACATCTGCAACAAAAAATAGCCAAGCATTGTGAGGGCACCTGTAGTCCCAGCTGTTTGGGAGGTTGAAGCAAGAGAATTGCTTAAGTCCAAGAGCTGGAGGTTGCTGTGATGCCATGGCATTCTACCAAGGGTGATAAAGTGAAACTCTGTCTCTAACAAAACAAAACAAAACAAAAAAGAAAAAAAAAAGACTTGGAGGTTGGTGTGGGCTGTGATGCCATGGCATTCTACCAAGGGTTACATAGTGAGACTCTGTCTCAAAAAAAAAAGAGTGGGTGTCTTAACTTGCCTAGGTAATACAGATTGTTAAGTGATTAAATTAGATTCAATGCCAGGTCTGTCTGATATATTTTCTACTAAAATAATATGTTCCTAATATTTCCAAGAACAAGAATTTCAAGTACAGTTTTCTCCTTCTATGGTCCCTCACACTCAAACCCTCCACAAAACTCCACCTGCTGCTTTAGTCCTGGACTCTAGGCTGCCCCTTAATATTCCTCTCTGTAGCCAGCCCTGACTCTTTTATCCTTGGACAACTCCTGAGCTAGGCTGAAAATCAGGATGTAACGATGTCTATAACAAAACAATGGCATCCACACCAAGAGCTAATATTTGTTGAGTGATTAGGAGTGATGGAAGGGATAAATATGAATCACAACCATGCTGTAAGTTAGATTTCACCATTGCCCCTATTTTATGGATGATGAAACTGAGGATGGGGGAACTTTCCAAAATCATATAGCTAAGAAATGTTAAGCTAACATTTAACACACAACTGAGATCTGACTTCAGAGTTATTCTGCCTTTCAGAATGCTCAGAGGATCTGCCCATGATGCATTTTCTTGGTGGTTCATGTGGGAACTCGAGCTGCCTAAAATCTCTAGATTGGGGTTTATTTGGATCTGGAGCATACCTGATCTTCTCTGGTTCTGTCCCTTAGGAAGATCTGCTTCTGTTTGGAGATGGAAGTCGTCCTATAGTAGTCCACCAGCTTATTTAGGGATGGGAACTTCTCAGTCCACAGGAAGTAATTACCCTTGTTGTCTCGCATGACCTTGAAGTGCTGAACGTCATCCTCATGCCTGGAGATCAAGGCAAATCCACATGGAATGTTATATGATGACGATGGCCCTACCTCCACACTGCTTGCATCTAGAGATGATGGAGATCTATTTGGGCAGGAGATGTAGACATGAATGACTCACTCAGAGCTGGGCAGGTGAGTTGGCCCAGTCAAGCTTTAATAGGAGGTTTATGGGATGGACCACTTAGGACACAGGCTACACTACATTTTTATATCAGCACAAGGTAATTAGATAGACTCTCTCCTGAACATTGGAACCAATCTTTTACAGGAAAGAAATGTTCCAAGTACCTTAAAAACTAAAAGATCAAAGTCCTTTTCACAATGTTTACTTTAAACATGGCAACACCTAAGTCCTGCACTGTGTTAAGGACTCAGTAGCAGAGGGGTTTTTCAAGCCCTATTTTTTTCTGTCAGAAATACTTTGAACCATCTCCTTTAAGCCCATCAACTAGTACTGGCAGGTCAGAAGCTACTCTCTTGCCTAATAAATCTGTCATGTTTATTCTTTATGTAATAAGGATCTCTTGATTTGGGTTTATATTTTGCATAAATGAGGTTACCAAGTATTTTGAGTTTTGGGGGAGTAAAACATATGGAATTGTAGGGTTTTAATTGGGAAGGACCATGGAAACTGAGTAGCCTGACTTCTTCATTTTACAGATGAGGACACTGAGGTCCACAGAGGTGCAGTTTGGTCAGAGTCACTGTGAGAGAATGGCAGGGTTGGGGCAGGAACCCAGGGTCTCTGATTTTAGTCCAGTGAGCTTGGTCTGTCACACCACGTGAGCATACTGTCTTGTTTTTGATCAGTACATTTTGATTCCAGTCTGGACTCACAAGTGATGGGGCACATTCATACCAGAACTGGAGAAATTAGATTTTATCCATCTGAGTCTTCACTATTAGATTCAGTCTTACTCTATTGCTAAGTCATTCTCTTTGGGATATAAAGTTTATTTTTCAAGCAGGCATACATTTCAATCTAAAATTAAATTGGCACTGAAGATACCAATTGCCTATACTAGAAGAAAGGTCAAGAATTTAAAAGGTCTTAGAGAATAAAGATACCTCTGAAGGTAAGCAGAAATTTCTTAGGGACGGATTTAGGGATCTGTGTTCAGAAGGGGACATAAATCTGGACCCTCAATCTCATCCGATATGTTGGGCTCTGCTCATACTGGGTGAGACCAAAGGTTGTGCAGTAACCTCTTGCTTGACTGATTTGGATTGCTCTCACTGCTTCATCATCTTCCCTTTTGCTTTTGGCCACTAACACATTCTTTACTCTAAGAATCCATGGCTCTGCTCATAGTCTGAGTGAGGAAGAAGAAGTATTCCTGTGATATTATAATTATTCATCCAGCACATCATAGTCAAAGAACTTAGTGTGAAACATTATCCATTTTACTTTCATATGCTTCAAGGATGAATGTCAGGGTTGCTGTTGGTCATCTTGATCTGTAGAGAGAAAATGGCCTGCACTCTGTCTCCCATCCAAGTACTAACGAGGCCTGACCCTGCTTAGCTTCCAAGATCAGATGAGATAAGGTGTGATTAGGTACTATGGCTGTAGACCTGACTATTTATAGAATTTACTACAATAAAGGAAATATAAACCATAATTCCTCACTGAAAAAGCCAAAGTCATCTTCACACAAACCAGAGGAACCAAAAGATGCTTTTAAATTTACCAATTTACTTGGCCCAGTTTGTAGGGGGGCAGGGAGGGGGCTTAAGAAATAGGTTTGACTTATAAGATGTATTAAGAGAACAAAATGTCATTAAGACCTAACAAGTTTAGAATTCATGACATATCAATATTGGCCTCAGCTAAAATTTCCCATCATCTAAGTGGTGAAAAAGAAAATTTTAGTTAAGGAAAATGAGAATTTAAGCAAGATTGCAATGGCAATGCTGAATAGACCAAGCTGTTCTAATAAGCTTGGTCTATCCATCTAATCTAGCCCATTAGATGCAAGTGTGCATGCTAATGGTTGACCCATTATTTGTAAGTCCTTCCTACCTATCCTTTAAAATATTCACAGATATTCATTCTTTCTAAATAGCAAAGTGGCCGCAATTTCTTACCTGAGATTGAATTTCAGTTCTTAAGACAAATAAAGCTGCATGCCTTTCATATATTGAATATGACAGCAAGGTTTTACTGTATAGGTTGTCAGGCCTTCTCCTAATCTGCTATCAGCATTATTTCTTTTACTTTCACATGTGGTCACCAAGTCTAAGGTGTGACTTGCAATCCCCAACATGCTGACCACACGCTGTGTGTTCAGACTTGGGGCTTCTGAGTTTGGGGCTGTGTAAAGTCTATGCCTGGACTGAGTCACTTCCTCCCAAGTGCCACACATGAGAGAGATTCCTCTGTGACAGCCCCCCAGCCTTGGCCCTCCTTGGCTCTGTTCTGTTGCTTTCACTTTTGCTATATTGCTCTGTGTTCAGGTAGCCTTTCTTTTTGTTCAGCTGCCTATGATTATATATGTATCTGTTGGGCTTAGAAAATGATACCCCTTATCATGCTGAGTACTTTGAACCAAAGGAGATTGGAAGGCCTCAGAAGCAGCCTCAGAAGCAAAGTCTCCCTCTGACCTTCTCCTGCCCTCTTTCTCTCCCAAAGCGAGTCCCAGAAACCAGAATTCCTCTTCCCCAAGGCTGATCATAGAAACTAGAACCCCTCTCCCCTAAAGCAGGCATAAACTGTAACTTTTCCTCTCCTTTCTGTGTAAGAGCTGGCCCTAAGAAATTCTCTGACCTACCGTGTCTGGTAGTAGGTCATAAGACCCTCATTCCAGAGGGGTCCTGCCCTATCCCCAGGAGCAAGGTATGCCACACAGAGAGGCCAAGAAGAATCTGAACAGATGGACCTTGCTGCGCTTCCTCACTAGGTCTGTTACCGTTAGATCACACCCTTTTTGTCCAATCACATTACTACGAGGCTGTCCATTCTTTATCACCCCTAGGCATAAAAATAGACAGTTTTCCCTGGGTCTTTGGGTCTTCATTTTCAAAGGCTTCCATAATCAGACAAAACTTTGATTAAATAAATTTGCTGTGGTTTTCTCTTTAATAAATAATTATAATATCAGAGAAACTGCCTTTGTTTGAGGAGTGTTGGCTGTGCCCCTGTAGTGGGGAAAGGGCATCACCCCTGCATCTCCTCTAGCAGTGACTTCTGCTGTTCTCTTACCCTTCTTCAGACATCCAGCAAAAGAAAAGCTGAAGTTTTTTTGTTTTTTGTTTTTTTTAAACAATATAACCATTTCTTTTTTTTTGCAGTTTTTGGCTGGGGCCGGGTTTGAACCCACCACTTCCGGTATATGGGGCTGGTGCCCTACTCCTTTGAGCCACAGGTGCCACCACAATACAACCCTTTCTTAAAAAAATTTCAGACTAATGTGAGGGTACAGATGATTAGGTTACAATATTATTTGATAGGTAAAGTCTTTGTTGTGTCCCCCATCCCAGAAGGTGAACCATATATCCTTACATTGTGCCCATTAGGTGGGAACATAATCTGCTTCCCTCCTTCCCCTTCCCTCTTCCCCCAATTTGAATTAAACTAAGTTTTTCTCTTGTGTGGCTGTGTATTAGTTCGTCTACTGGCTTCATATTATTACTATTATTATTATTATTTTGGAGACAGAGTCTCACTATGTTGCCTTGGCAGAGTGCTATTGCATCACAGCTCACAGCAACCTCAAACTCTTGGGCTTAAGCGATTCTCTTGCCTCAGCCTCCCAAGTAGCTGGGACTATAGGCACCCACTACAACACCCGGCTATTTTTTGTTACAGTTGTCATTGTTGTTTAGCTGGCCCAGGTCAGGTTCAAACCTACCAGCCTTGGTGCCTGTGGCTGGCACTGTAACCCCTGTGCTATGGGCGCTGAGCCATGGCTTCATATTAGTATTGATTATACTGGATATTTGCTTAAGAAAAACTCAACATTTAAGCCCCTAGATGGCAAGGACAAGTGGAAGTTCTCTTTTTCCCTCCCCTCCTTCCTTCCCCAAACACTCACTGAGCACCTATTTTATGCAAGGCACTGTTAGAGGCACAAAGACGAAGCAGAGAAAATTCTTGCCTTTCCAGAAGCACCTGGGCTAGAGGGGTGGGCGGATGAATACATAAATAATTTTCAACACAAGCTAATGTACTAGAGTTAGGTGTGCATGTTCTGGGAAGGAAAGGGACAGCACAGTTGTTAGATGCTGCCATAGTTGGTCTCCTTGGCTACCACGCTTCTGATCACTGGGTCACATCAGATCACCCCATGGCTTCAGTAGTTGGGGTAGTTACAGGCTCAGAAGGGTCAGGGTAGTGTTGGGAATGGCCAGTACCTGACAGAGATGGAGAAGTCCCCTGGGGAGCTCTGGCTGGCCCGGATGATGAAGAAACCAACCTCCTTGCCCATGAGTAAGTTCTCTGCCTGGTGTCGCGAGAGGCCTTCGTGAAACCATCTATTGAGTGAGATAAAAGAAGAGGGTCTGGGTGAGGCACATGAGTGGTAGGAGAAAGACATGGAGAAGAGGTGACCCAACGGGAGAGAAGGGGGACTCTTCAGTAGAGAGCAGAGAGAGACCAAAGAGGGGCCAGCTGCTTTTTAAAACCAAACCAGTGCCATAGGCAGTTGTCAGGAAAGTCAGGCGAGTTCCCCTTGACTTACTCTTTGTTCTTTCCCTCCAGGAGAAGTCGCTCTCCAGCTTGGAAAACCTGAATCATGGAAATGTGCCACTGCACCAAAATGGGGCAGTGTGGGAGTGACTCACTGTGGGGAGCAGCCGCATGAGGGACAGAGGCACAGAGAGGGAAGGGGCAGCTTCAGGTGCTGGGACAACCAGGCTAGGAATGGCCACCCCTCCTCAGGGCATTAAAGGAGAGTTACTATGTTGGGGGGGTCTTGCCACCTGGGCTGGCATGCTTTGCCAGTGTGCCCAGAAGAGGCTCCAAAGCACCCAGGGAGCCCTGCATAGGTGCCCTTGGAGATGAGTGGGGCTGGCAGCAGCCAGAGAGCAGTGTCTCCACAGCAGCTGGGCCCTCCCCAAAAATCTAGGCTGGAAAATAATCTTTAATGTGCAAAAGAACACATGGGAGAAACTGCTCTTTCAGGCGAGCAGTCAGGGTGGCAGCCCCTGGAGCTATTGCTACACACGGCATAGCATGTATGAAAAAAGTCAAATACACAGGGCAAGGCAAACAGTGGCTATGGGCTCAGGGCAGAAGGCCAGAAACCTCTCAGAACTACAGATAAGCAAAATGAGTGTTTGCAATCACTCAGCAGGCAAAGGTGGGACTGTGTCACATTGCTTCACGGTGGCTGCTCTAATTACTGCCACCAGAAGGCTAGTACTCATGTCCCTTGAAGATAAATGCCCAACAGGCTTGGGCTTCGGATTTCTTTGTTAGCAATTCCCCGGGCTTTCTGAAATTTGGGAACCTGGACTCTGAGACAAGGGTAGCAGAAAGGGTGTGCTTATTCCAGACCCAGGCCACAGGGGAAGGTTGGTTGTGCTTAGAGGGGGCTGAAAGCTGGGGTTTCTGGTGGCCAATAGATCATGCCAGAGTATTTGCTGTACAACCCTGCAGGGCTGAACAAGTGACTGCCACAGCATCGCCATGTGTGTAACAGGGTGGGAAGAGGAGTGGGTGCACCGCACAGCAGCTGTCCCACCAAGGAAATATTTCAGAACAGGTAGCAGACAGGGGAATTTAGAAAATACACCGCTGACCTCCACCTAGAATTTGATGAATGGCTTCTTTCAAGACTTGCAAAAATTTCACATGCTCTATATCAGACATGAGAGGCTAGGGTTTCAATATTAATACATATCATCACAAAGTCCTTCATTCATTTGCTAACAGCTTTATTGAACATCTACTATTGTGTTGGGTCTCTTCTGGGCACGGGAGACACAGTGACAAGCAGAAGAGACAGGGAATTTTCATTTCAGTGGGGGGCACGCAATAAACAAAATGCAGTAGAACCTCTGTAAGTTCAATGTACAAGGGACCATAGCACATTGGTCGACATAAGGAACGAGGCCCACTGTACTGATACGTACATGTGGTGCATGTGCAGTCTTTGAAAATTAGGTCAACGTAGGGAGGTGGTCAACTCTGGAGATTCTACTGTGATTAAAACATCAACGTGTCACATGATGACAAGTGCTGTGGAAAAAATGAAACCAGAGAAGAGGGGCAGGGAGTGGGGGTGGGAGAGTATTTAAAATACGGTGACAAGAAAGATGTCACTGAGAATGAGATTTCTGAACCTAAAAGATATTGGAGAGGAGGAGGAACCTGCAAAGGAGATGGGAAGGAAGGGTGCCCCTTAGCCTAATGAAGAAAGTGTTTCAAAAGTAGGGAGAGAGCACTGAGGTCAAATCTGCTGAGAAGGCCCCCAGGGCCTGTGGTCCCCTGGATAGGAAAGTCAGGCTGGATGAGGAGTTGGATACAGTGAATACAAATAGTTCTTTTGAAGAAATGGAATGTAGCTGGAAGGGGATTTGAGATCAAGAGGTTTCCTTCTGTCTTCTTTGTTTGTTTTCTGGTAAGTTGGGAGAAATTGCAGCACGTTTGTTTGCTAATGGGAATGACCCAGCAGGGAAGGAAAGAAAGTTGATGTGGAAAGGAAAGGGGAGAATTTCTGCTAGAAGCACTGACAGTTCCTTCTGAATAGTTGCAGGAGAGGCAGAGTGGCTGAGTGCAATTGCAGGGGGATGGCAGATGTGGTGGGATAGAGTTGGGGATGGATTTTACTGTCCCAGAGAACCTAGAAGCAAAGCCACAAGCTGAAAGTGAGATGGAAAGAGGCTGGAGGTTGGGGAGCGGGAAGGTAATGCAGTCACCTAGCAGATTACTGGTAGTATCCCAGCAGGCTGCAAATACTTACTCAGGAAGCTAGATGTCTATGAAATTCTTAGGGCACAGTCAAGGTCAGTGGTCATTCCACCGGCTCATAGTAATAGTTCACCATCAATGCTGCTGTTGCACTCATTGGAGTCATTAATACCACTTCCGTTTCCTAACAAACCTTTACTCTTTGGGCTAGACCCTGGCTCTGAGATAAGATTAGATTCCTATCTAACCCTTGTGGTCAATTCTTAAGACACACCAGACCCAATCTCAATTTTTCGTTTCCTCTTTATAAAGGGAGTTCCCCTTCCCCCCACTGACTTCTCTTATTGGGGTGAGCAAGGCAAGGCAGGAGTGTCCATGTACCCACCCGATTAAGGGTAGGGAGGCTGGTGGGGCTGCAAAGTAGGGTTGGAAGGTGATGGAGAAGTGCCTTGAAATAGCAGCTCTTGGAATGGGGTGGTTAATGGTGATCCCTTTGGAATTCTCGTAAACCCTGTGATTGCAATCACTATCAATGATTTGAGTTGATAAACTTATTTTATAGAAACTTAAAATAGACAATCTATGTGCACAGTGTAAAATTCAATAGGGAGTGAAGTAAAATGCAAATTCTCCCTCCTGTCCTGGTCTGCCCCATGTGGTTCTGGAAGCTCTGGGGAGAGATCTCCAGAAGCTGCCATTTTTGACAACATCTTAGGCACACAGATGATCTTAGTGTGCCTTACGGGAAAGTGAGGGGAGTGGGTAAGGCTAAGCCTATCCCGCAGGCTGCAAATACTTACTCTGGAAACTGGATGTCTATGAAATTCTTAGGCACATATCCTTCTTGGCTCCCAAGCTCCGCCTTGAACCATTCCTCTTGGTTACTTAAAATCTACACAGAAGAGAAAGAAGGACAAAGACACTGCAGGGATGATACCAAAAAGCCAGAGAAAGGGGTTGCGGGGCAGAGCAGGGCCTTTGGACTTACAGGAAAATAAGCCAAAGGAATTGAACAGCTGCTCTGGGATTTACCCTGGGCCCGGTTGGGGAGCAGTGGGCTTATCTTTGGAGTTTGGCTTCTCTTGACCCTAAGTTATTTCTGTCCACTTGTGCCACCCACTCATATCACCCCACTGTGGCTTGGCCTCCCAAGTTCGGCACTCAGGGACTTCCCTGAATTCCTTTCTCCTTCTATTTTGGAAATGCGTTTGTCCCAGATCTTAGCATCTTAAATTCCTCCTCTGAGCAGATGGCGGGAAGGCAAGAATGGATACTCTATGGTTTTTTGTTTGTTGCTTGGTTTTTGTTTTTCTCATCCAGGTAAGCAGGAAACTCTTAAAAACTTAATTTGTTTTAATTTTTTAAATAAGCAGATTAAAATGTAAACATCCAAGCAGGCCAGTGTTGAAAACAGTAACTCTTTGTGTTCATGCTCTGGGTGTCTCACCGATAGTTTGGATCAAACTCAAGATGCTTGGGTTGCCTTTTCTAAACTTGCTTTCAGAGCCAGATCACAAGCAAAACCAAGAGTTCTGTCTTGTTACTTTATGGTCTTACTGTGTCTGTGACCCCCACATGTTATTGCCTATCTGGATTACTCATATTACTCACCAGACTTGACTCTATGTAGCTTTTGGTTATTTCAGAAAATGAAATTAATTTTCATTAAAAGATAAATATTTGCTACCCCCACCAAGAATGTCTCTAAAGCCTATGACACGGAGTTGACAATAATTCTATTAATATGTGAGGATGATGGGGCGTGGTAGCTCATGCCTGTAATCCTAGCCCTCTGGAAGGCCTAGAGGTGAGGATCCCTTGAGCTCAGGAGTTTGAGGTTGCTGTGAGCTATGGACACCATGGCACTCTACCCAGGGTGATAGAGTGAAACTCTGTCTCAAAAAGAAAAAAAAAATTGAGGATGGTAGAGCAAAAGATGGAAAGAACCCTGATCATGTTATAAGCCACTGAATTAATCACCAAGGCGCCCTCCTACTTTGGGACTTTGAGAAATTATAAATCTTTTTTTTTTTAGAGACGGAGTCTCACTTTATCACCCTTGGTAGAGTGCTGTGGCGTCACAGCTCACAGCAACCTCCAACTCCTGGGCTTAAGCAATTCTCTTGCCTCAGCCTGCTGAGTAGCTGAGACTACAGATGCCTGCCAGAATGCCCAGCTATTTTTTCATTGTTGCAGTTTGGCCGTGGTTGGGTTCTAACCTGCCAGCACCCTACCCACTGAGCCACAGGCGCTGCCCTGAGAAATTATAAATCTTTATTGTTGTTTCAGCCATTTTTAGTTTCTGTTTCTTATGGCTGCAAGTCTCTTACTTGATTGAAGTATGATGACAATAACGGAAATGGTCGGGAGAGAGACTTCCTCCACTTAGGGAGAGGCCACTGGCTCTATCAATGAAAGGAGTCATTCAGATGGTACAAGAACTCCTTCCTCTTTCTAGGATACAGAGAGGTGTGGTCATTCTGGGAACTGTTGCCTGGTGAGACTTCAATTTAGACCTGATTCCAGGAGAAGGGGGTGGGGGGAGCTAGACGGGTATACAGGGCCTCATGGCCCAGGTGGGAGAGTTTGAATTTTTATCATGAAATTTATGGAGAGCCATTAAAAGATTTTAAGCAGGAAAATAACAGTAAGAAGTAGAGCTAAGAAAGGGTTCTGTATCAGAGTGTGAAGACTGAGAGGGTAAAGTCAGGAGAGAAGTTGTAAGAAGCAATGGAGCCCTCCAGCAAGAGATGCTGGGGCCTGGGCTAAGAGGAGGTGAGGACCTATTTAAAGGAATTCGGGGAGCAAAACAGGAAGGGGGGGATTTCATGATCATGCTTGAGAGCTAAGGTAGAGGGGGTTTCTGGCTTGGAAGACTGAGTAGGTGGTGATGCCTTTGCAAAATAGAAAATACAGGAGGGAGGCAGGGCTGAGACTGCAGACTGTATGCTGGTGAATTTGAGTGCAGCTCTGTAACTAAGAAGAAAAACAGTTGGGTATGTGAGTCTGCAGCCAACAGCCAGGAGAGACTGGAGCTGGAGTTTGGGATTTCAGAGTCATGGGAAAGTGGGTGGTGTTGAAGTCATGGGTCCCCTGGGTATCTCTCTCCTGAGGAAAATGATGGGAAGAGAATTGAAAGAGAACTCAGTACTTGAGAAGTGATGACGACCTATTTCTAACATCACTCCCAAGGTGGAAAGGAGAGGACAGGGCTACGAGCTTGGAATGAGAAGACCTGGTTTCTAGCTCAGTTCTTTCACTAGCTGTGTGACCTTGGGCAAGTCAATTAGCCATTTGAAAACTGGGGATAATAATAACCACCCAGTGCCTCACAGAGCTGATGGGAGGATCAAATGAGCCCTGGTACCTGAAAGTCCTTCAGAAAGCATACACTTTTTAAAAAAATATATAATTTCATCAAATGTGATATTCTTATGAGGGAAGACTAGAGCTCTGAAGGACATGGAAGGGTTTATAAGTTCTTTAAAGCATTATATGTGTATGTTTTGAATTTAATCATTTGTTCCAAAGAAATAAAAGTGTGTCCCATATTTGAGTTCGAGATTGCTTAGAACAGAAAACTTTATAGTTTCTAACATCAAATGCGACTGTTGGTATCACTAAGGACGTGTGGGTATGTGTATGCCGAGGGGGGTAGGGGGAGGCCAAAAATCTAGGTCAAAGGAACGAGGAAACTCAGCAGTGCCTCGTAGCCACACAGAGAACACGAGAGCATTTCACTCCAGCCATCACTCCTGAATTTATGGCTTCAGAATTCCTGTCTCCCATCACATGGGAATGTGGTATTTGGCCAGGATAGCCAATGTCAAATACAAAAGCGAGCAGGGAAGTGGGGAAAGGGGCCATTTGGAAATTGGCTTATCACGGTAAGAGCCACACTCTGTGCTTTGTTCTCTGTCCTGAAACCAGCTGTAATTTTAGTAATCATAGCTCATATTCATCTACCCCCTCTAGAAACTGGAAGATTATCCCACAATGGTGGCCATTTCTCTCTACCACCTGGTGCCTGTTCTTTCTGAGATTGTGTTTCTAGAGAGGTGAATTTACAGGTTTCTTACAGGATATGGAAGGTGAGGTTTTAAAAAAAAACAACGACTCATTTTTTGCCAAGAAAGGTATTCGGGGGGAGGGGAGAGGTGGTTTCCTCCTGCCGTTGGGGGCCCAGGGCCCCATACTTCCTGCCCTTCTCATCTATCTCTCCATCTGTTTGGTCCCCCCCGCATCATCTCTTGTACCCATCATGTAAACCTGAGCAAGGAGTTTGGCCTGCACACTTAAAGTTTTACACTGAAATTTATTGTCCCTTGATTCTGACAATATTCCCTCACAGAATAATTTTCTGGGTTACACGGCCTGAGAATAAGTTAGATGTGGGAAGAGAAGGACCAAAAGTACAGCTGGAAGAAATTTTAAATTAGATGGAATTACAGCTCCTAGCAGCATGGCAGAAGCATTGAGGAAGTTAATTACGTAGCATTAACTCTTAGTGCTTTTAGGTTGCTGTTTTAGTTGGGAGAAACCAAGTCGAGTTAGATGCATTAGAGAAGCAGACAGAAATGGAACAGGTCAAGAGACATTTTTCAAAGCTGAAAATTGAATTCAACAGCAGACTCAAATGTTAAGCCTGGTGCTATGAGCAGCTGCAGGTGTAGAGGCTTGTGGCATGAGCAGAACAAAATCTGATTCCTAACTTTTCAAATATTTCTCTTACAGGAGAAGTGGATTAAATCATTTGGCAGGAGTTCCCTGTCCACCATCTTGTTTACTATTCCATGCAGATCAGCATTCATTGAGTGCCCGTTGTTTGTACTTAGGAGCTGGGAATATAGAGATAGAGTAAGCTGGGGCCTTTGCCCCAAGGAACTTGAGGTCTTTTGAGTTTGGGTGGCGGGTGAGCTAGTCAGACGTTATTTCTGTGCCTTTTTAATGAGGTATCCTGTTTAGTTGTTAGCACCAGAGACCAAATAAGAGATGGAGCATGTGAAGAGCTGGCTTTGGAAATAATTGGGAGGACCCTGGGTATGTCACCCACCTCAGGAGGGGAGGGCAGAAACTGCAGTCTTATGTGGGGCACACCGGGCCTGGGCACCGACCACTGTCCCACAGATATCCAGGGAGGCTCAGGCAACAAGCCCTCTCCAGTTTTCTCTTTATCACACAGCTGCACTGGACAGAATTTGAAGAGAGGGAGGGAGTTGGCTTTTGGATGGAATTCTAAATGAGCATGCAGAAATACAATTTTGCAATTCAAGAAATATGTACTGGGCACCTGTTTTGGGCCTTGACTTGTGTTAGAGGCTGTGAAGATACAAAACCTGGCATGGACAGGCTCTCAGGGAGCTCACCAGTGGAGGGGATTGACGGTTCATTCATTCAACAAATATTAGGGAGTTCTAGGCACTGAGGCAGACGCAACCCCCACCCTTGCAGAGCTGTGGCCAGTGGAGTAGTCAACACCTAAATTGGCAGTTAGGAGGAGGAGAAGTGTGAGACCACGGAGTCGCAGCCCGCCCATGTATAACTGCCGTGGGAGGCAAGGTCATGAGTGCCTGGAAGTGAGCGAGGTGCGTGCTGAATGCTGGGGAAGAGCTGAAGAGGCAGGGATTTGTGTTGCTGGGGTAGTGGTGGGGTGTTCAGGGAGGGTTTCATAGCAGAGATGGCTGAACATGTGTGCAGAGAACGTGTGTGCCTTGTCATACTGCAAGGGGCACACCGGCCCCTCTCAGGCTCTCCCCTTTACTCCCCCTGAGTAAACTCAGATCTATTTAGCTCCAAACGCAGATCTATATAGCTCCAGTTTATGCTCGTTTCTATTGTAACACACTCCTTTTAGTGAAGAAGGGACTTGCTTGAGATACATCATGAAAGGAAATGAATATTCAGAGCAGAGTATAGAGCTTAGAAGTCAGAGCAGAGTATAGTGTGCAGAATATAGTGCTTAGAAGTCAGACAGAGTGAGTTCCTGGCTCTGTCACTCTAGCTGTGTGACTTTGGACACACAGTTTAACCCCTTGGCCTCCATTTAACATTTGTAAAATGGAGGAAAACTTAGTGCTTGCCTCACAGATGTGCTAAGATGATGAAATAATGCCTCAGACCACTTAGTCACATCCCAGCCCCAACAGGAGGAGCTCAGACCATCTATCTTGGTTATTGATCACCAGGATTTGGCAAGGAGGTGCTGGTGGTAACCGAGGCTTCTTGCCTGGTGACCGACCAAGGCTGATATTGAGAACATGGATGGGGAATAGTTTGGGCAGAAGTAGGAGTGAGGTGGGGGTAGGGGGCTTGAGTGATTTTGGACATCAGGAGTTAGGAGCTGGAGTCCATGTGGTGACATCCAACAGACAATTGGAAGCACAGTTCTGGAGTTCAGGAGGAAAGTCAGAGTCAGAGCCAGAGCTGTGGACGTAGGGTCTTGGCACAGAGGTGAGAGTCGAGACAGAGCAGTGAGTGAGATGTCTCAGAGTGGGGAGAAAAATCAGAAATCCGAGGGCAGAACCTTTGGGAAACCGAATATTTAAAGTCAGAAAGAGAGGAAATGGAGCACTTAAAAATGAGACTTTCCAGGAGGGCTCAGGAACGGGGGAGAAGAACCAAGAGAAGGGAAGCTCAGGAACAAGGGAGAAGAACCAAGGGGAGGAGAGCTTCCAGGAGGGGCAACTAGCAATGTCCAGCCCACAGGCGTTTCTGTCAGCCATTATGTTGCACATTATGGAGATCACTGGTGGACTTAAGGAGAGTGTTGGGGGCGGGGCGGGGCGGGGTGGAGGCAGGGGGAGTGATCCCAGAGAATGGGAAGTGAGAAAGTGGAGAGCCCCCAAACTTAAGCAAGATATTAGGTTCTATTTGCAATGGAAGATGAGGGTGTGGCAGTGGCTCAAGGGTGCTCTAAAAGGGTTGCTAATCAAATGGTCACAATACCCCAGAAAGAAGGGAGGAATTTCTCACCCCATGACAAGTCCCCTAAGACATTGGTAGATCTCAAGTAGTGAAAGCCACTTTCTCCTGGGTCTGCAGCCCAATGGATATTTTAAACTCACAAGGCCTATACTTTGCCACCACCATTGCTAGAGTTCACAAGCTGAGATAAGTTGGAAGGCTACATAATGAGCTGTCCAGATTCCAAAATAAGCCATTCTATGTGTGCTGTGGTCTGTGGGCCCTTTCTGAGTCCTGACAAGGTTCTCTTTGGCAAGCAGGATTCTTGATGGTGAGACCCTGCTGGCCTCAGACTGCTGGGCATCTGAGAAGGCCCATCTGGACTGCTAAGGACCAGGGATTGGGCTGTCTGAGGATGCCCTGAGGTCAGACAGGGGGATTGGCTTCACATATTTCTGAGTGGCTTTTTGAAGGGCTTGTGCTCTTCTGCAAAATAAATGAGGGTTAAGAGTCTGGTAAGTGTGGTGTGTGAAATGTGAAAGAAGTCCGAGGCCACTTCAGCTCAGCAAGTGGCCATTACAACTCAAGTGCAGGCTGAAGACAGGTTTTAAGAAGCCCCTGAGTGGCCAGGTGTGCATGGCCTTTGTAGAGCCACGTCCCTTCCAGCTCCCCTTCCCAGGCTGTCACCCCCTACACCCCCATCTATGCTGAACCTGGCCATGCTCTCTGAATTCAGCACATGCTTGTGCAACTCTGAGCTTCAGTTAAAAGCCCAGGCTGCATGCGTTCCTCCAACCCTCCATCTTTCAAGTTGGAATCAATTTGTTCCATCACCTGTGCTCTCTGAGCACTGAGCCAAGAGCAGCATCTGTAACAGTGCTTTGGATGGAGGAGACATTCCCCCTTCCAGACCATGATCATCTCAGGACAAGGATGGTGGCTTATGCTGACCCAATTTCCATCACCCGGCCTGGTGTCTGGCACGTGGGTGCACGGAAGGAATATTCTGGATAGAGGTGAACTTCTCTTTTTAAAAGAAACTTCATGCAGTTCTTAAGAGACAAAGGCATGGATTCTTAGATTACTTCAGTGTCCGGACTAAAGTAACTTAAACTCTTGATGGCTCCCCTCGGCTCCATGTCACGTACCTTCAGGACATCTCCAGTGTGAAAGCTCAGTTCGTCCTCACCTGAGGCAGTGAAATCAAACTTGGCCACAGCTTCCATGGTGTAACCCGAAGCTGGAAGAGAAATAATGGGGTCATTGTGCCTCTCTGCTGCCTGGCAGTCTTAGCCTCTCACAGGAGCGTGTCGGATGAGTGTCTCCAGGCCAGAGAGCAAGGCTCAGGCGCACAGTGAAGGCTTGTGTTTGCCGGAAGAACTGCTAGAGCCTTTAGGATCATTCTCTGAATCCCTGGATGCCAGGAGCAGGAAGTGGAAGCTGGCCTAAATGCTGTCCTCTCCTTTCATCTCCCAGTGCGGGTCCTGGCCTGACACCACTTTTGGGGGCATCTGTTTCCAGTTGATAAGGACGGGAGGCTTGCTATCATCTGTAACTTGAGGCCCAGGGGGCTGGAAAGACTATTCTGTAAACACTGTCCCAGTCTATCCCTTGGCAGCTATATTTAACCAGGCAGTGTTAATTAGACAGATGCCATTTCCTCTTTTACATCTGAATCATTTAAGAGAATTAGACAGCATTAGCCATTGGGGAACTCAGCTTCCTTTTGCATGGTTTGAGAGTAAAAAGCATTTTGGTTGGAGAGTTAGGAGACTCGATTAGTCAGATTACTTATTTTATCATTAGAGTGTAAACCAAGTAAGTACACTTTGGAAAGCTAGATTTTAATAATTTTTGAATTGAGTTAAAAATGCTAGTCCCCTCCTCATAATGCATGATAATGGTGTAAAGATAAATGAATCAGCCTACATTCTATGTGGAGTATGAAATAGAGCTGTTTTTTTGGGGATTGTGGGGAGGTTAACAGTGAGAGAGCTGGCATGAAAACTAGTTTTCTTGGTAAATATCTGTATAATCTTGGGCAAGCAATTAAGCCTCTCAGAGTCTCAGTTTCCTCATCTGTCAAATGAAGATCATAATATTCAACTAATAAAACTGTGAGATTAAATTAGATGATAAGTGCAAAGCATCATACGAGAAAAAGCTAAGTTGTACTTATGTTTTAAAGTGATTTTATGGAATGAATTCTACCACCCTCCCACCCATCCCCACCTCGCAACTCCCTGGCAAAGGCAGCCTGACCAAAACCAGCACAGGTTTTCTCCTGAAGCTCCCAGAGCCTATAAACATTTTTTATGGAAATTTGATGCTTAGTCTTCATGACTGTCAACCCCTGTGACTCTTTGCCTTGATAGGGTTCTGTCAGGACAATCTTGAAAGCTCTTGTTTGGCGCTTACGTTTTTCAAAGTTTCTCTCAGTCTCAAACCCTCTAGGTTAGTACTCTCAAACCTAGTAGACTTTCTGTGACCAGTAAACTGGTACCACAGTTGTCCTTTCTGTGGGAATTTCTGCACAGATAGATAGGATTTGGGTAAATAGGAAGGCGGCCGCTGGTGGGTGGGCACAGTACCAGGACATCCGAGGTTAAAGACAACTGCAACAGGCCCATAGTGAAGGGCTTGTTTCTCTGATTCTCCACACTTGCTTGGTCTTCCAAAGGTAATTTGGGGAGATGACTACTATCCATCCAAAGGTGGATATTAAGCAAAAAATAGCTTAGGAGCCAAAGTGAAATGTCACAGGTAATTCTCTGAGCTTTATCACCGGTCGGAACTTATTTCCAAACAACACCACCATCACAAATAATACTTTCTGTACACTTTCTTCAAGATCTGTCCCTCTAAGGCAAATTGAAATTTTTGTGACTTAGGATGACCCACTCAACAGGAAGGACTATTCTGCCCTCCTTAGTTAATGCTAAATGCCTTTGTCGATTTGATCCTTGATCCGCCCCATTATTTTAACATGCAAGGCTTCTCCTAATTAAGGCCTTGTCTCTTATTTGCAGGGAGACACAGCTTCTGTGGGTCTACTTTATCATATCAACAGTAGACCCTGGTCACCTCCCGGGATCAAGGGTTAGGCTAATGGTTCCAAAAACCAAGATCTCATTTCTATGCAAATTTACCTTAATAAGCAGGATGGGGGAGACAAGGGGAGGGCAAATGCTTAACATATTAGAAAGTTACATAAATGGGAGAAGAAAAAATGTCCAAGGCATGATGCAGATATAACGTTGGTTTGAGGAAGACCTTTCTAACATTACACACAGCTCAGCTCAGGCCTGGGCGCTAGGGCGAAGCTGGCTGTAAATTATGTGTGGAGGAGGCTAAAGCAGAAGTAAAATTGCTTCTGAATAGAGGCACTTTTCTCTGTCTTCCCCCAGGAGGCAGGCGGTGTGGCCAGGCCAACGACACAGGCATATCGCAGCGCTCCCCAGCTTATGGTATTAATCCTGGCTCAAAAAACCCAATTAAACAAGCCCACTCTTCATTAAATCACTTGGAAAAATTTTGTTTGCTTCCATTTCCATTTGTGAAATGAAATCTGCTCAGGCTGCTATTTATTTAAGGTGGGGTGGGTTGTGTTCCTTTTTCATTCAAATCACAGGGCTTTGAACACTCTTCCCTTGAAGCACCCTAATAGCAGAGAATGGTAAATATGCCACCCCCAGGGCTTGGTCTTCTGTTTGATCATAAAAATGCATGGAAATCTATATCTCATTTCTCTATATCCATTCGTGTTCATTTTGAAAACTTTCAAAATTACCACCAGGGAAAAAGAGAACTCAACTAATATAGTTGTTTCAGTATTTATCCAATCCTGCAGCTGGGAAGCAAGAAACATTTGATGATGATAAAAACTGGGTAACAACAACTCAGAGAGAGAGAAAGAGAGAGCTACAGCCTGAATTCAAGAATGCAATGGTGCTTCCTTGCAATTTCAGTGCGCCTGACCTCTGGGGGAGATGAAGAGAGAGATCCCTCTCTAGAGGACCTCACAGATGGCTTAAATGTGTTTTCTCTGCCAGTGATGGGCTTTAGAAACGGCTGGATGCTGCCTGCCATACAGCATGAGAAGCTGCAAACTCCAGGGTCAGTTAAGCCACCTCCAGCAGCGCCTCCCCCACCCTGCCAGGCCCATTGATGCTGCCATTTCCCCAGTGCTAGCTCTCACCAGCCCTCTGCGGCTCGGCTCTCTCGCTTACCCCCACCCCATGAGTTGCTGGAAATATCCATTAGCAACCCAGCGACACAGATCTGCTTCACCACAGGGTAATGCCACACAGACTGCCCTGACATGATTTTCTCTGCCCTTGCATTTCCATGTAAGCTTCTCTTACCACCAAAGACCTGGAAAATATTCAGGATATATAACAAGAATGCTTGTCTACTTCTAAAACAGTCACTGCAGAGGTTGAAAACAGAAGCCATGAGAAAGCTCTTTAACCTCTATTTGAAAGCCAGATTGTAAGCGGATTTGTTCAGAAATATGCAGTTACCATCAAAATGGTAGCAGGCAAGAAGCTTCTTGAACAATTTCAGCTCCTCCTAAGTTGGCTATGAATAGACAAGGTTTCCATTTTCTGTATATCTCAAAAAGAGCAATTGCATAACACCACCAAGCTATGTGAAGATTCAGGCTTGGGACCTCGATGGAGACGGGTCCCAGATTGATGGCACTTCCTACTTTGCTGGGGAGAGCTCTAATTTGAATGCTTGCCCCAGTTTATATTGCAATTTGGAAGAGATAATATCTTGAAATTTTTTTAAGAGAGAGAGAAACATTGCTTTTTAAAGTATTGCTTGTTGCATATTTATTAGGATATTAGCAACAATTTTTATTAGTTTATCTTGTATATGAAATGAAGTAAATGAGTAGGGATAATAGTTTACATTTTAGGACTTTGGCTGTAGCTACCGAGAGGAGCTTAGCAAAAAATATAAACTTATACCAGCCACCTAACATCACGTAACGCAGAGACTTAAACCACACAGCCTTTCTGTTCTTTCCAAGCGACAGGTAAAGCCCCTTTTGGAGACAATAAGGGAATGTGCTTCCTTCCCCCATGGAATTGACAAGGTCAGCTCAATTACTTTCTTTCTAGAAGTAGGAAACCTTACATCTGCCAGGGATGATTATAGCTAAGCTCCTCTGTGCAAAATAAGTATATTCTTGAAAAGTTATTGTGAATAGAGTATTTGTAAATGGAATCATATTAGCATGTATTATGGAGGCTCACTCTATAGAGGAGCCCTGTAGTGAATTGCTTTATAAAATGAAAGGAAAATTTGTTATGCAAATAACTGCCTTTTAATTTATCTGTTTTAAAGTCTGGATTTTCATGCATTGAGTCTTAAAACAGAGAACACCTGTATATCCCCTCTAGCTCCACGCACTGTGGGCCAGATAAATATTTGTTTTCTTTCTTCTCAAGTCCTAAATAATGCATTAAAGAAAAAGCGTCTTTTATTGATACAGAACATTCTGCCTCAGAGTATAGACCAGGAGTCATCAAACCTTTTCTGTACAGGGCCAGAGAGTAAATATTTTTGGCTTTGTAGGCTGTCCAGTCTCTGTCACAATTACTCAACTGTGCTGTTGGAGCTGGGGATGGAGGCTTAGATGATGATTGTAATTAAATGAATGTAGCAGTGTTCTAATAAAACTTTATTTGTAGGCACAGAAATTTGAATTTCATAGAATTTTTACATGTCAAGAAGTGTTGTTATTCTTTTGATTTTTTCCCCCTAGAACTTAAAAAATGTAAAAAACAATCTTAGCTCAAGGCCAAAAACACAGTGAAGGGCTGAATTAGGCTCCCTGGCTGTAGTTTGTCAAACACAGATATACACATTTATATCTATATCTTATGTCTTTTAATAGTTTGCAAATTTCTTGAGGGGAAGGATTGCAGCTTAGAGGACAGAGTGTGGGCTTAGAGGTAGGGGGCCTATATCTTAATCTAAAATGGGCCATTTACTTCCAAGTGTCCTGTTTCCTCATCTGCAAGATGAAAGTCACCACAGTTACTTCATGGGGTTGCTGTGTGTTAATGTGTAGACTGACACATGGTAATCATTACAGTTAATGGTAATCATTGTTATTTATTCTTAGACTCCCTACAGTATCTAGCCAGTGCTTAGCTGGCCCTTAGCAAATGTTTGTTGAGTGAATGAAAATAGGCAAATGACCTGCCATTGGAGTTGCTATAAAGT